AGATTTTTGCCCCCCAACCCCACTTTTGATTGACAGAAGAGGGGAAGGGGAAGTCAAGGCCGGGCAACGAGAGGAGGATGAGGTGATGGAGGAGGAGGAGGAGGAGGAGGAGGAGGTAGTAGTAGTAGCAGCAGCAGCAGCAGCAGCAGCAGCAGCAGCAGCAGCAGGAGGGAAGAGGAATCAAGGGATAAAGTATGGCATACATGGAGAGACAAGAGGCAGGAGGAGCCGAAGGGTTCAAACTGCTGCAGTTGACCCGACAAGGATTGAGCTTACAGTAGCTTGATCAGGGTGTGTAAGAGTTGTGATGTATTCCTCTCAAGGTAAGAGTTGTAATGTATTCCTCTCAAGGTAAGAGTTGTAATGTATTCCTCTCACTTAGTCTCAGTCACTCAACTACTCCACCCCAAACCTTCACAAAAGGCTCTGATGTCTTGCTCTCCAGTGATAGACAAAAACGTCCCACCGTCATCATGTTCTTCTGTCAGCAGTTCCTTCCCGCATGTCTCCGCGAGGTACCTCAGTACCTCCACATGCCCTCCCTGACTTGCGTAATCGGCGCATGTCATTCCGTCGTTCTTCTTCTCTCTCATCACCTCCTCCCCGCATGTCTCAGCAAGATACTTCAGTACCTCCACATGCCCTCCCTGACTTGCAATATGCGCGCATGTCATTCCGTTGATAGTCTTTTCTCTCATCACCTCCTTCCCGCATGTCTCCGCAAGGTACCTCAGCACTGCCAAGTGCCCTACAGCGCACGCCACATGTTCGCATGTCACTTGACCATCCTTCTTGTCTCTGAGCGCCTCTTTCCCGCATGTCTCCACAATGTACATCAGTACCTGCATGTGCCCTTCCTGGCTTGCCGCATGCGCGCATGTCGCACCATCATTTCCTTTGTCTCTTAGGATCTTCTCCCCATATGTCTTCGCGATCAACACCAGAACGTCTACATGCCCTCCCAAGCTTGCCGCGTGCGCGCATGTCCAGCCATCCTTGTCCTTATCTCCGAGCAGCTCCTTCCCGCATGTCTCCGCGAGGTACCTCACTACCTCAAGGTGCCCTTCATTGCACGCAAAATGAGCACATGTCCTCAAGCGAACATCGGGCTCTCTCAGCAGCTCCTTCCCGCATGTCTCAGCAAGGTACTTCAGAACCTCCAGACGCCCTTGAGCGCTGGCGATATGCGCGCACGTCAGGCCGTCATCGGTCTTAGCTCTCAGAAGCTTCTTCCCGCATGTCTCGGCGAGGTACTTCAGTACCTCCATATACCCTTCCTGGCATGCGATATGCGCGCATGTCCATCCGTCACGCTTCTTCTCACTCAGCAGCTCCTTCCCGCATGTCTCCACCAGGTACTTCAGTACCTCCACATGACCTCCCGCGCTTGCTGCGTGTGCGCATGTCCTGCTGATAAAATCTGTTGCTCGTAGAAGATCTTTCCGGCATTTTTCCGCAAGGTACCTCAGTACTTCCACGTGTCCTACGATGGACGCAAAATGGGCGCAGGTCAGGCCTTCAGTATCCCTTTCCCTCAGCAGCTCCTCCCCGCATGTCTCAACAAGGTACATCAGTACCTCCACACCCCCTACAGAGCCAGCCCAATGTGCGCACGTCCGTCCGCCATCGCTCTTTTCTCTCAGCAGCTCCTCCCCGCATGTCTCGACAAGGTACATCAGTACCTCTACATGTTCTTTCTGGCATGCCATGTGCGCGCATGTCAGGCCATCATTGTTCTTGTCTCGCAACACGTCCTTCCCGCAGGTCTCTGTGAGGTATGCCAGTGTTTCCAGGTGCCCTTGCTGGGTTGCGATATGCGCACATGTCTTACCATCATCGTTCTTCTCTCTCAGAAGCTCCTCCCCGCATGTCTTCGCAAGGTACCTCAATACCTCCACATGCCCTCCCATGGTTGCGATATGCGCGCATGTCATACCATCCCTGCTCTTCTCTCTCAGCAGCTTCTCTCCGCATTTCTCCGCGAGGTACTTCAGTGGCTCCACGTGCCCTAAAGCGCTCACGATATGCGCGCATGTCATGCCGACGGTTGATATTTGTCTCTGCAACTCTTCCTCGCATGTTTCTCCGCAATACATCAAAACTTCAAGATGTCCAGCAGCGCTCGCGATGTGTGCGCATGTCGTACCAACGCCGCTCTCCTCTCTCAGCGCGTCCTCCCCGCATGTCTCCGTGATGTACACAAGTACCGCTAAGTGCCCTCCCTGACATGCGATATGCGCACATGTCATTCCGTTGATAGTCTTTTCTCTCATCACCTCCTCCCCGCATGTCTCAGCAAGATACTTCAGTACCTCCACATGCCCTCCCCCGCTAGCCCTATGAGCGCATGTCATACCCTCCTTGTCCCTCTCTTGCAGCAGCTCCTTCCCGCATGTCCCCGCGATGTACCTCAGTACCTTTAGATGCCCTTCTTGGCAAGCGTAATGCGTGCATGTCCTACCGGCCTTGTCCTTGTCCCTGAGCATCCCCTCCCCGCATCTTTGCGCAAGATACATAAGCACTTCCACTCGACCTCCCAAGCTTGCCACATGCGCGCATGTCGCGTCGTCATTTTTCTTTGCTCTCAGCAGCTCCTCTCCGAAAGTCTCGGCAAGGTACCTCAGGACTTCAACGTGTCCTTCTTGGCTTGCGATGTGTGCACATGTCACATCTTGGTTGTCTTTCTCGGTCATCAGCTCCTCCCCGCATGTCTCCGCAAGGTACCCCAGTACCTCTACCTGTCCTACAGCGCTTGCATAAAGTGCGCAAGTTCTGCCATCCTTGTCCTTTTCTCTCAGCACCTCCTCTCCGAAGGTCTTCACAAAGTACTTCAGAACCTCGATATGTCCTTTCTCGCTCGCCTTATGCGCGCATGTCTTGCCTATACTGTCCCTGACTCGCAGTACCTCCTCCCCGCCTGTCTCAGCAAGGTACCTCAGTACCTTCAGGTGTCCTGCTCTGCTTGCCAGCTGCGAGCACGTCTCACCGTCGTTGTTCTTCTCTTTGAGCACCTCCTCTCCACATGTCTTCGCAAGGTACTTCAGTACATTGATGTGACCTACAACGCTTGCCGCTAGCGCACAGGTCGAGCCGTCCTTCGTCCTCGCTCTCAGCACCTCCTTCCCGCATGTCTCTGCAAGGTATACCAGCACATCAACACGATCACCCTGGCTTGCGTAATGCACACATGATGAGCCAGCGTTGTCCTGCTCCCTCAGCACCTTCTCCTCGTACCTCTCAGTGAGATACTTGAGCACCTCCACGTGCCCCCCCTGGCTGGCCTGCAGTGCGCATGTTCGGCCCTTGATGTCCTTGTCTCTCAGCACCTGCTCCCCGCACGTCTCCACTTGGTACTTGAGCACTTCCACGTGCCCTCCAAGGCTTGCACGCAGCGCGAACGTCTGGCCGTCATTTCGCTTCTCTCTCAGCACCTCCTCTCCGCATGTCTCAGCAAGAAACTTGACAACCTTGAGGTGTCCTCCTTCACTCGCCGCGAGCGCGCATGTCGTGCCATCATCGTCCTTGGCTCTCAGCAGCTCCTCACCGCATGTCCTCACAAGGTACACAAGAAGCTCGAGGTGCCCTCCCTCGCTCGCAAGCAGTGCGCATGTCTGACTTGTATTGTTTGGCTCCCACAGCAGTTCCTTCCCGCATGTCTCCGCAAGGTACTTCACTACCTCTACGTGCCCCTCGTAGCTCGCCAAGTGACTACATAGTCTGCCCATATTGTCCTTTACCCTCGCAAGATCTCTCAGCTTCTCCTCTCCGCACTTCTCTCCCAGCAGCTTCAGTACCTCCACATGCCCGTACTCTGCCGCCCAGTGCACGCATGTCTTTCCCTCCCAGTCCTTCGCCTCTACGTCTGCCCCTGCCTCTATCAGCTCCCTCACGCTCCCCGCCCTCCCCAGTGTCGCTCCTACATGCAGACCGGCCCTCCCGTCCTCCCCCCGCTCGTTCATGTCGCATCCTGCTGCCTTGAGTAGCGGAATCAGCTCGCCCTGCCCCCGTACCACCGCCATCACTGTCGCCGGCCCCCTCTGCTCCTCGTTCTTTGAGCTCGACACCCCGTACATCCCGCACAGTCTCTTGCACACGTCTTGTCCGGCGCCCTCCTCCCCTCCTGTCAGCGAGTAGGTCTGGTGCATTAGACCTCCCATCGTCTTCCAGTACACTGACTTCATCGACTCTCTCGCGAGGACTTCGCACTGCCAGTCCCCTCGAGTGTCTTCGATCCAGTGCCTGAGCTTATTCATTGCCATGTCCTTCATCGTGTTTGACAGTTCGATCGCCTCCTTGTATCTCGAGTCCTCGTTGTACCACTCCGCCGGCCGTGCTCTGCTCGCCTCCACCAGCTTCCTGCACTCTTCCAATATAGATCTCACGAGCTCCTCGTGCTTCCAATGTACATGGTCACCGGTCGCAGTCACCAGCCGCTCCTGGATCCTCGGCTCCCAACCCCTCACGTCTCGCTCTACCTCCCTTACGATATTCTCCATCAGCCCGACGTACAGCTGCTTCCTCTTTCCCAGCATGTCCTCGATCGTCAAGCTCATCGTGTTGGCGTTGATTCTCAGCTCCAGCGACTTCACCCACCTCCCCTCTACCTCTATGTACCGCGGCGTCTTCACCACCTCCAGGTACGACAGCGGCGGATACAACATCTCCTCCTCCCCCGGATATTGAGACAAGAACGCCAAGCTCGCCCCCCGGTCGATCGCCCCGCAGCTGATCTCGAACACGATCGGCTCTCTCCCCTTCCCCATGTACTGGATCGCCGTATTGACGTCTGTTGTCGTGCTCAGCAGCCCGTACTCGACCCCTCCGGACACCCCGAGCTCGTTCTCCAGCAGGAACCTCTCCGGCAGCCTCCGCCCGCTTAGGCCCCTCCACACTCGCCGTCCCTTGGGCAGGCTCGAGTGACGAGACAGCTTCACGATGCCGCTGACGATGCAGTGGATGGTCGTCGTGTACCTGTTAGCGACCTTGTCGGGGCCTCGGAGCGCCAGGTTGTACTTGCAGAACATCGGCCCTGGTACCCCGCAAACCTCCCGTCAGCTACCGAACATGCCTCCTCCTCGCCTCCTCCCTGTCCTCCTCGCCTCCTCCCCCTGGTCCTCGCCCCCCCCCTTCCTCTTGTCTCCTCCCTATCCTGCCTTGGACTTCTCCTCTGTTTCTTGCCCCCTCTCACCTGTGTAGAGCTGCAGCGCGATCAGCTCCTCTGCTCGTAGCCCCGCCTTGATTGCTGTCTCGTGCGCCTTCAGCTCCTCCATCCCTCGGATCAGCCGCCCCCCCTCCGACAGCCTCCGCCTCCTCTCTGGGTCTGTGACGTTGAGCCACTCCTCCTTGGCTGTCGTCGTGATGTTGTAGTTGCTCGTCGTGAACGCTTCCTCCGCGTCCTTGTCCCGGCAGTGCTCCTCCTTTATCCCCTTCATCAGCTCCGTCTGAGGTAGCCCGATCCGCTCCATCAGCCCCCCGAAGTACTCGCCAATCTGCCCGTACACGGCCTCCGGTACCTCCCCGCTGCCTGTAGCGTCTGACGCCTCCTCCGCAAACTTGTTGTTGTCCAGGCGCGACTGCCCCTGTTTCCTCGCCAGCCTGCTCGGCTCCTCCTCTAGCCTCCTCGCTATCGCCGTCTGCCATAGAGCCGATAGAGCGCTCGCCGTCATCCCCTGCAGCCCCGCAAGAGGACTCGCCTCGCTCCCGCCGGGGATGCTCTCCGCCATGACCCGAAGCACCTCCAGCTCCTCCAGGCTCCTGGCCTTGCGCGCCACCTCCCACTCTCTTGCCACTCGCCTCTCGTACTCCTCGTGCGAGAGCCTGTCGGGACCGGCGGGCTGTATGAGCCCCGACACGTCGACGCCCAGAGAGACGATGAGGTCATTGAGGAGCAGCATCCATCGCTGAGAGTCGTCGGAGGCCTCCAAGAGCTCCCCAAGCATACGTCGGATCTCCTCCGGGAGGCGCCATGGCACGGCTTGATCCTGAGTCTTCCCCTCCTGCTCTGAATGCTCTGACGCCTCAGGCGTCGGGCATGCAAAGCTTGACAGCTGCTGCTTGATGTCCTTCTGCCTCGCCAGACAATCCTTGGCCTCCTGGAGCTCCGCCCTGAGCTCAGAGATCGTCTTTGTCGCATCCTCGAAGCTTCGCTTCAGCGACAAGTACGCGTCCTCTTCGCTCTCGTCCGGCCTGACCTTTGACGAGCAGCAGCCAAACAAGCTCATCGCTTTAATGAGTACATGTCCGTTGCTTGACACGGGCGTACTAGGTCCTTCTCTTCTCTTCGCTTTCTCGCATCTCCTAATTCCTTTTCTCTTTCATTCTGTTTTTTCCACCTTCGTCTCTCTATTTCCTTTCTCCCTCTGCCCTCTCTTGCTCTCCTTCTCTGATCTCCCTTCCTCTCCTCTATGCCCCCCCCTCTTCTCCCCTCCTTTCACCATATTTCGTCCCCCTTAGCTGTTCCGAGTTCTTAGCTGTTCTTCTCTGATCTCCCTTCCCCCCTCTCCTCTACTTCTCCCCTCCTCTCACCCTCTCCCTCCCTCTCAGTTCTGCTTCTTCTCCTTCACCTCTCGATCCTCTCTCTCTCTCCTCTCCCTTCTCCTCCCCCCTCTCCCTCCCTGACTCCCTCTCAGCATTGCATCGTCACCCTCTGCAACGGCGGCCTCCTGGCAGAGGTAGACAGGTTGAGCAAGTTCACCTCAGATTCAGACATAGTGTAAGTAAAAAGACAGCAATATCTTCTTACCCACCACACCAGCAGCGGCAGAGCACAAGGGAAGTCACCAACCGAAATTGAATTTTTTTTTCCCGGTTGATAAGCGTGCGGTATGAGGGCCGGGAACTTTATGAGGTGTGCTGTATGAGTTCCGAACATGCAGCGCAATGGCCGCAATAAAAGAGAGGGAAAGGTAGAGGGAGAGGAGGTGGAGGAGGAGGGGGAGGAGGAGGAGGAGACAGAGCAGGTAGAAGGTTGGTATAAAGACTTCAAGTTGTTATAGAGGAGGGAAGGATGGGTGAGACCCTTGGGGTTAGGTGGGGAGGGAGATAACCTGATCGTCATGAAGCATCATGTATGATTTCGACCTCTCTAGGTCGTCTCATTCCTTTCACCTTCTATGGCATCAGACAAGCATCTCTACCGCATAATGTTCTCAACCTCGACTGAAGACGAGGTGCGCTAGAGGGCTGGAAGTTGTTTGCCCTCGCTGCTGCTCATGCTTTCGTACAGCAGAGCAACATCTTGTGTTAATGATGTTGCTCCCGCCCACACCCAATGGCAGCGGCCACTTGCAGCAGCGTGCTACGGTCTCCTGAACGCAGAGGGGAAGGGGAGATGCTCCGAAGGAGGGGCGATGGAGGCAGAGGAGGAGATGGCTCGGTCATGAAGCAGCTAAGGGCAAGGGAGTTCCTCGCGACTACCAGCCGGTTCCCCCAACTGCCAGCTACGAGCATGTGGGAGGGAGTGAGGACGAGAGCGCTGAGGTACGAGGATGAGACGGCTGGCTACTCGGAGGAGAAAGGATGCTTCTGCGTGGGATTCGACCTCACGGGGAACATGCTGGTGGGGTGCATGGAGGACAGCACGATCCGCCTTCTTGATCCACGACAGGGAGGAGGGGGAGGAGGGGGAGGAGGAGGAGACGGAGGAGGAGGGGCGCGATGTCGCGTCGTATCCATCTTGCATGGACACAGCGGGCCTGTCAACAACTTTAAATTCATGGACGGCTATACCCTCCTGACAGCCTCTGACGACAAGACGGTACAGCAGTGGGACATGCGAAGGCTTGAGTCGAGTGGCTGTGGGAGGTCAGGTGAAGGAGGAGGAGGAGAAGGGGAAAGGGGAGGAAGAAGGAGCTCAGCGCTGGTTCAGAAGTTCGTGGGACATGGAGGTTGGGTGAAGAACATCGAGCCGTTGAGCAGAAGCGAATTTCTGTCCTCGGGTCTAGATGGGACAGTGAGGATATGGGATATCAATGAGGATGGAAGCTCGAAGGTTGCGACGGGGTGGAGGAACAATGTGGTGAGAGAGGAGAGGAGAAGGAGAGAGAGGAGGGGGGAGAGAAAACAGGGGATGGAAGAGAGGAGTGGAGGAGAGATAATTCTGAGAGTTGATGATTGGTTTTCAGATTCTCAAGCACAAGAAACTTTGTCGGATGGCGCTGTCAAGAGATGTGAATGGGGAGAGGCTGATAGTCTCTTTCTGCGATGAAGGGTGAGGGGGAAATGACGACGAATCACAATTAAACAGATGATGGAGATGATGATGATGATTATGATGGATATGATGATGGACATAATGGATATGATGATGATAGAGATGATAGAGATGGTTTGCTCTCTGACATTTCCTACCCAGCGGGAGTACAATCATCATCAACGACGTCGATTTCTCACAAGCATTGTTGGATATGCATAGTAAGACATCTGCAACAACGATGCTCGTCGAGCAAACAGCCATCAGTAGGATCCTTCAGATGAAGAAGTTGTACAAGAACCACAACAATTTCTGCCGGAGGAGAGACTATTGTATCATTCCTCCTTCCTGCCTTCGCAAGAGGAATAGACTTGAGCTCCTCCACGAGCCTCGTCCTGGCTTCACCCTCTCCGTCCTTACCGGCCCCAGGAACCGTCCGAACGAGTCGCTGCTGCTTGCTCGAAGGTACGAGGAGGAGGAGGAGGAGGAGAAAGTCCCTAGGGAGATGCAAGAAAGTGGGATGAAGGATGAGGAGGGAAGAGGTCGAGGTCACAATGATGGAGGTCAAAGAAGCGAGGGGAGAAAAGAAAAAGAGGGGGATAGGGAGGGGGAGGGGTTGGTAAGTACGGGTGGCAGCAGCCAAGAGCTGCATGGCTTTGGTTGTTGAAAACTTTCATGTCTAGGAATTCTTTCAGCTTCATTAATGGAGAGTTCATGGATCAACTCTGCGTTTATCGCTTATCCGGGGGACAAAATGATTTTGTTTCTGATCAGATGGTACGGTTGATAGTAATGCTGCTGCTGCTGCTGCTGCTGCTGCTGCTCCCGTTGCTGCTGCTCCTGTTGCTCCTGGTGTTTGTGGTATGATGGTGCTGATAGAATGATAACTCATGATCATGAAGACAAAGGTGGATATGATGACTATAGTGCTGTTTTTGATGTTGCTGTTGCTGCCGTTGTCGATTTTGCTGATGATCTCATTTGTATTTTGATGAGCTCTGCATTTCTATTCACCGTCACAGGCAGCTTTACAACTATCATCACATTTTATCATTATGTTGTTCCGTCTACTTTTTCTGATCATGTTTGTCAACAACAGAGGGAATGGATACATCGAAGAGACTCGATACCTGACCAGACGGAAACTAGTCTCGGTGGGTTGGCCTCTGATATCTCTGATTTTATCCTCTCCTCACTTGTCGTCCTTTTACACCCTGTCTCCTTCCACTCTCACCTTTTGCTCTCCGCTCTTCTTTTCCTCTTCTTCGCTCTTCTCTTCTCTTCCCCTCTCTTCTCTTCTCTTCTCTTCTCTTCTCTTTTGCTCTCCTCTCCTCTCCTCTCCGCTCCCCTCCCATCTTCTCGTCTCTTCTCGTCTCTTCTCGTCTCTTCTCTTCTCTTCTCGTCTCTTCTCTTCTCTACTTCTCTCTTCCTTTCTCTGCTTCTTTATTTCCTTTCTCCATCTTTGATTTTAAAAGATGTTCCTTCTGCCTCGCCTATTCATTTCAGCATGGTTTACGAATGATTCTTTCACCAGGAAATTCTTCGCGCAAACGCAAGAAAGGAGAAATACATGTGGTACATGCATACAAGGCATGGCAGGTAAACTTATACTCATGACAACTTGTCAAGATGTATGTTTGAGTATGCTGTTGGTGATTGCACTCTGGCGATGATGCTCATAATCGTATTCAAGATGTGAATTTCACGATGATGAAGACAATGATTGCAAGATGTACCATGATGAAGATGACGAGATAACATTCCATATCTTCGTTAGGGTTTCATATCGATGCATACTTGTAATGTCTTCGATTCGCTGATCTTATTTCAGATCTTTCCAAAGAGACTCGTCGGAATCTGTGAAGACAGGTCTCTGTGACAGACTGATGTCCTCCTCCTCCTCCTCCTCCTCCTCCTCTCCCTCTCCTTACTTGCTTCTCCTTCTCCTGCTGCTGCTGCTGCTGCTGCTGCTGCTGCTGCTCCTCCTCCTCCTCCTCCTCCTCCTCCTCCTCCTCCTCCTACTTGTCTTGGTCCGACTCCGCTCCTATCTCTCCTCCTTACTCCTCCCTGTCAATCTTAATTTGATTCCCCTGCTTCCTCTTCCTTCCAACACGGATCAACCTTTCTCCCCTTCCATCCTCTCTCTCATCGCTTCTTTCAGCCAATCCCGCGATATCTTCGTCGACGCTTCCATGAGTCCATGCGGGAGATTGATCTGTTCGCCCTACTACAGGTAATCTCCTCCTCCTCCTCCTCCTCCTCCACGACCACTGCTGATTCAGCTTCTTCTGGCCCTTGTGATCGCTCTTCTCCTCTTTCTCGTTTCCCTCCTCGATACCCACCATCTTCTCCTGGTGGTGCTGCTGCTGCTCCCGATCAAATCTTTATTCTTCAAA